ACTATCCCTGCCCTCAATATGATGACTATTTGGAGCCTAGTATCAACGTTACATATCCTATATCGAACCGTGCTCCCTGTAGGTCAAGTTAGCACCGGGCTCACGATACCCGAACCATTTCCAAATTCCTCTTTCCCGCCCATTCTAAGATGGCTAACTTGTCAATCTCTTTCAACTTTCCCTCCATTCTAAAATGCCTCAAATAACTTTCTCATTCAATTTACCCAGCATGCCATGTATATGATCATTTTCATTAAATTTACTTCAATCTCACTTGTATGATAACTATGGCACACACATGGCATTCTCAAGAAAATGAACACAAGTATAACATTATTTATACATCAATTCCAAGCATGCTCATCATAAATCTCATATCATCACAACCATGCTATATTCATCATTTAAGCAACTTTGCACCGAAGCCATGTTATACTCATCTTTAGAATGAAAATAAACACATTCTTGCACCCTAGACTAGCATGCTTTCATAATATCAACACTTAGTCATTTTAATTCACATCCAAGAATGAAAGTAAGAGAATTCATAGCACACTTGCTTAATCAAAGGCAAGTTTTAGAGCATTAGGAAACCCCTACCTCAATTGTGTGCAACCAAACAAGCCCTTAGCTATCCCTCATTTTCGAAATCCTCCATACCCATGTAACAGTGGTGTCAAAATGAAGCTTTTATCAAGCTCATCAACTATCCCTTCTTGCTCTTCATCAAAATCCCACTCTAACCTCTTTGAATCATGGCTTAAAACATAAAGGGCATATATATGTATAGATATAGAGAGAGAAAGAGATGAACTAGAGAGAGAGGGAGTGTTGACTGAAATGGGTAAAGAAGGAGGTGATGGCGGTGTCTTGCAATTGCATACTTGGACCATGATGTGCCACTTATCAAGCCCCCATTGGTTATAACTCTAAGCCAAGTTACTAACATGCCCTCACTATTCCTTTGCAATGCCATCTAAGTCCCTAAAATATCTACCTCAATGCACACATATATACATATATACATGTATATATGTGTGAAATGACCACAATGCCCCTCAATGAAAATGGTAAAACTGGGAGAAGTTCCCGAGCTCGAAAGTCATTCCGACTTCGAAAAATTCTAAAAATGACTCCGTCACTTCCAATTGGCTTAAAACAATTAAAAATGCATTTCCAAAACCCTAGCTTGAGGAAATGACCTAAATGGCTTTTGGGATCCGCGTGGCACGCAAAACGAGGCACGAAAAAAAAATAAAAGAAAAAAATTCCAGAAAAATTCAAAAAAATCCGGGACATTACACTTTCTAAAAGCCTATATTATGTTATGGAATCTGCTGTACCGTGGAAGATGTTGTACTTCTTTAGACTATTCAAATCAAAACAAAGCAACAAAGGGAAAAGAGCCAGAAATTCTGAATTCGGAGGGCTAAACTAAAATTATGTAATCAAATTTTGAAAAATTTATAAATCAGTTGAAATATAATTTTCCTTACAATATTAGTTTTGGTATATTTATTGAGGAAAGTATAATTCAAAAAATAAGAAAATGTAATGAAATTAAATAGAGATGAAAAATTAATATGAGAAAGAAAAAATCTAGAAGAGTAAATGATAAGTTACATGTAATAGGAGAAGTGGTACCAGTATTAATTTTTCTCCAACAATTGTTTTAATTTCCCAAAAAGTCATTTTTTCGAAAAAAAAAAAAAAAGTAATTTAATTCCACTTTGAGAAAGATATATATAGATATAATTATTACCTTGATGAAAGATTAATAATAAAAATATATTTTAAATGAACAAATTCCGCTTTAATAAAACATTATTATTAGGAGGAACACAATAGAGAAGTACTTTAATAACTAATTCAAGGAGTAGCTATAGAATTTTTCATTAACAAGTGACAACTAAATATATTAGCATATTATCATTATTATTATTGACATTTTTGCTATCTTGGTACCATAACACATTAGTTTTTCCTTCTTTCCAGTGTTCCAAAGACTCTAATTTGAAAATTTTCCCAATAAATACCATCTAACAAAATGTCGAGAAAAAATATTCATGTATTTTTATTAAACATTAGGGGATATTAGTGTAATTTCTTTTTTGAATTCATAAATCATGTATGTATATTATTGTAATTCTAAATGTAGCTAGTGATGATATATTAACCTATCATAATAATGAACTTACATTTTTATTTTACAAGGTTGGACTTCAATAGTTAGGTTAGAAGGGTTGAAGTTAAAATTTCTGTAGGCTCGGCATAAATCAAGATCTGCTGAAATAAGAAAGAAGAAGGGCTGATGAGATAGCAATAATGAATCATAAATAGAGTTCGGGTTCGAATTCCAGGTGTATTACGGAACTTACTATTTTTTATACTAATAAAAAAGTGTTCTGAAAACAAATTTGGAGGGGCCAACCGAAATTTTCTATAAATTTTGGGACCAAAAGTTGGACTTATTTACAAAAAAAAACTATTTTTCCCCATAGCCCCCCCTTCCTCCCTCCTGCCTAAATATCTCATCTTCATGATAATCAAATAGATTCATTATGATGAGATTTAGAATTGAGCAAAATTTCTCTGCTTATAGTCACTATTAAAACTATCAGATAAACCTGATGATAAACTAAGTTTAGGACGGTCACGCATTAAATAGTAAAAGAAAGCATAATTATAATAAATTCTAGAGATTATTAATAGAAATTCTCTCAATAAATTCTAGAGATTAGTAAAAGCATTATAACCTCATAATTATAGCCAATATTGAAGAAGTCTTATATAAAATAAGAAAATAAAATATTTTAAGATTCTATTTTAAGAGAGTTCCCATAAAAGTACTGTCAATCAATAGATCTAAGCCCTTTGTTTAGTTTTAATTGATCAACTTTTATCGAAGCTCATAGATTTTGTCACTTGAACTTGAAATTTCAAATTGATCAAAGCTATTTGTTCACAATTTTTGAAAAACACGAATAGAATTTAATTTTGGACTTTTATAAGATCAAACCTAAGTCATGATGGTCACGAATGCATCAAACTAGAAAGTACGGAAACTTCCCTTGGGTGTCGTGATGACTCGAACGTGTGTCTAACATCACTAAAAGTATCGTGAAATTTGAATAATTTATTTTTTTGTTGGACGTGGCATGGACAAGGCAAAAACACATTTTAGTCACTTTTAGAACACGACAGAGTGGTTTTGTAATTATTAATTAAAATGATATTTAATGCAATTATTGGTTATTTTTTAATAAATAATATAAAATATAAGAAAACAAAAATAGCGTACCTCTAGTTCTTAGTTTCAAATTAGTGATTTTATTCATAATTTTACAAATAAAATGACCAAAAATTATTATTTATATATATTATAATATATATATTTTTCGGATGTCATATTGTTATTTATTTATTTATTTATTTTTTAAGATTTGTCGTATCCATCATATCGGTAACATGACTTATATGTGTTCCATGTTCATATTTGTGTTTCCTAGGTATTTGATTGAACTTGTGATATTTTCAATATATCCTTCAGAATTCTTCATCCCCATCACCTTCTTCTGGTTGTATACAAACTATTCAAAATATATAGTTCAAATTACAACCATAAATAGTTTAGAATAGGAACTTGGCAACACATAATATTTTAACAAAATGTTATCCGTTATGAGACTAGTACATCACTGGGAGTTGAAGTATGTTAGAGCAAAGGGGTTAAAAGGGAAACTCAAAAACTCATGAGTAGATTCTGAGCAAAATATATTTAAAAAAAAAAAATCAGAGTGAGAGAACTTGGATATTCATTTGCATATTAATAGCAGTTCTTAAATCAGTATTTATTAGTATTTATCATTTTGGATTTAAATTTATGTAGTGATATGTAATGGATGTTTAATGTTTATTGCCTGTCAATCAAATTTTTCTTTAACCCCCCAATTGGATGAATATTAGATCCCAGATTTGGGGTTCAAATGGTGAAATTGGAACTGTGAAATTGTTTTAGATGATTCCGTGTGTGATATGTAAACCTAGGAGGAGGATAGATCTACAATGCTTTCTTTTTTTTGTTTCCTTTGAGTTTAGTCTTGATGATTATCAAAATGAAATTTTAACCAATTAGAATTAGTCAATAAATCATGGAAATGAGATGTATGTGCGATTGTGCATGTATTGAAGATAATTATTTTCCTATAATCCTGATGTTGGGTGTGTCGAATTCGGATGGAAAATGAAACGAGTATAAATGGATTAAATGTTAGCCCCACATAATAGTTTAAGTTTTTGAGTCGGGTCTCGAAGCAACCTACTCGTTACCGTTGGTATTAGAGTCAGGCACAATCTTTAATTCGGTATCACGTCAAACGTTTGGCCCGAAGGTGTCCGGATGCAGCACCCGAGTTGACAAATTGGCCCCGACCGCAACGAGGGCGTTGTGGGAAAGAATGTTAGAAGTGTCCCACATTAGATCCAGATAGAAAGTAAAATCGGTTTAAATGAGTTAACTGTTAGCCTCACCTAATAGTTTTAACTTTTGAATCCGATCGCAAAGTATCTGCCCGTTACGCCTAATTTCATTGCCACTTTGTCTTTTGAGCAAGTGCCTTGATTTTTTATTTAAGCTATTGATGCTTTAATTTGTTTTTTTTAAAAAAAAAAACAAAAAACTCAACCCAAGTTTTTCAACTATAGTAAGAAAAAAAAATAATCATTGTTAATGTCTAATGATGAAAACAATTATCCTGAGCAAGTGATGTCAGATGAATCATGTGACAAAAATCTAAGTTAATAATTATATTTTCAGAGAGATTTTTATTTTTATTTTTAAGGAAAAACACACACACACAATAACTGAGTCTTTCAATATTTTCATTTAGATTCCGCCTTAATGTTATTGGTTGTTACAAGTTCAATTAATCCTTTTAGTTCTGGTAAGTTAGTTGGATTAATCAAATAACTGATTGTACACTCCTTTTGGTCTACTGAAGTATGAAGCAGGTACTTGAAAGGCATAATCTGCATTTACAGAAGATGGAGAAAGCAGACCAACCATCTCTTGATCTGCAGGTAAATTTGAAATATTTCTAGTCATTTTGTACATTAAGCATATAATTGCTGTTTGATGAACCAAATCACAACGTGTGGGAAAAGGGTGAAAAAGAAAATTGTGTTCATAAACTCCATTATCCATCTCTGCATATTGGGATATCCTCTAATAGCATTCTGAAATCATGATGATAATTAGCATATTTTTTAGGATTTTAAATTGACTTCTAAATGCATTTTTATGCTGACATATGTAATCAAAAAGATATATATATATATATATATATATATATATATATATATATATATTCTCTAAAATGAACTTTTCAAAAAACAATTACAGGAACATGAAAAATAACTATACACAAAATTTTCATGCCCATTTTGCCCTATGCATAATTTTGTGCCCAAAAGTGGTCATAGATTTTTCTTTTTGACCTGGCAAGGAGGGGGAGGGGGAGGATGGGCTAAATCGAACTTGGGCTCTCACAGATTCAAGGAGTACCTCTACCAACTGAACTATTTAGTTTATCCCGATTATAGATATATTGGTGTAGAAAATTATGCACTAATGTGTACCGATATACTAAAAAGAGTATGCGTAAAAGCGTACTGACATAATTACGTCACTTACGTATCAGCATTAGTTTTTATAAAGAAAATAATGCACCACTCACACCGGATGATGAACAATTTTATGCATTTTGAATCAAAAGCTCAAAGGGCAAGATGGGAAGGAAAAGTACGTGCAACAGTTTTTTTTTTTTTTTGACATTTTTGTCTATGTAGATATACCCTCAAAAGTTCATGTATCTGAAAAAAAATTCCCTAAAAAAAAAAAAAGAAAAAAATACCTGCATTGTTATATGACATACTACAACAAAAAATAAGAATAAAAATGATACTCATTATTACAGTTTATTTGCGGAATAAACTTTTTGAATGGAAAAATTACCATTATCTTCTTCAGCTTGAGAATTGTGCCTATGTGATGTTGAAAAAGAAAGTTGCAGAGAAGACTCAAGAGTTGAGGTATTACTGCATGGCACTGCCATCTAAACCACCTATGCTGATATGCATGTATCTATAATATTATAAATTGAGGAATGATTGATCCCTAGTATAAGTACAGGCAATTGAGTGGCGAAGAGCTTCATGGACTTGATTTGCAAGAACTAATGAAACTAGAGAAATTGGTCGAAGGAGGATTATGCCGTGTCCAAAAATCGAAGGTTTGTGTCCTTTGGATGTAAATTTTACACTAATTATTTTTTATATGCAGTCTTAACATATGGAATTTTGTATGGGTTTTTCAGGGTGATAAATATGTGAAAGAGATCAGTGCCCTTAAGAGAAAGGTCAGATCAACTTTATTTATTGCAAGGCTCATTTCGTATAGTTGATAAAATCAAGAGGAAAAAGTACAAAATGGTAATGAAAATTTCAAAGATTTGAACCTCACGCGTGACATAATCCCTAAGGGAGTGAGGTCCACTGTGTCTGTGCGTCCATTCTCTCTCAAAAGTGATCTTCACACTCGGGGTGCACTGACTATCTAGCGAACAGGAGAGGATCCAAATTCAGACGTTATTGGAAAGCTTTGAAATGATAAATTTATTTCCAAGACTAAATAAATATCATGCCATTTATAAAGCCAATGCACTTGGTATGAACGGATGAATCATTGTGACAAATTTGGCACTTGAATGAATCGCGTAAATTTGATGGTTTTGTTTGTGTTCTTGTTTTGTTTGTTTTTGTTTCTTTATTTTTATTTTTTTTGGGTCAAATGCTTCAATACAGAGTATAGCAGTAACACACAACTCTATACTCATGTAAAAATGATTAGGTAAAGGTTACAAGAAAAAAATTAGAAAATGTTTACAGTTATAGAAAAAAATTACGTTCTCTTCAAACTCCACACATGCTATGTTTCTGCTTTTACCTTTCCAAGTCTCAACCAACGAACACATAATAAAATCAATTGAAATTTCATTTATTTAAGATTTTCAAACAAACTTTGAAACCTCTATTGTACTCCATTAGATTTATCGGTGCTCACGATTAAGATCGTGCCTATGCTCTTGTTGGTTGAAATTTTTTTTGATCCGTTTTCTTTGTCTGAGTTGTGCTCTCTTTTTCTTCCTCGCACATTGAAAACTACTCTACGATCTTCCGTAAATATCTATGGCGGTGTTTGTCATAACAACTCTAATGAACATGCAGGAAATGCTATTAATTGAAGAGAATGCACAGTTGAAACAGCAAGTGCAAGTGGATGTATGAGTTTTCTTCCTCTTTCTCTTGTTGCTAGTTTATTTTATTTTTTTGCTCTACCTCACTGATAGCTTAAACTTGTCCTTCGTAGATGGTTAACTTATCTGTAGGCCAAACGACTGTTCCCGAACAAGGCCAGTCGTCGGAGTCTGTCACCACCAACTGCATCTCAGCCGATCCTCAGCAAGACAATGACATCTCTGTAACCTCCCTCAAATTGGGGTTAGTTTCTTATTTGGTCTACAATAACCAGCTATTCACTTGTAGTGATGATGCATATCTCATGTGATTCCTAACGGAAAAGATTCAGAGTTTAGATCTCCGTTATAATTATTCTAGGATTTAAATATTAAAGTTACACAATATTTAATAGTTTAAACTTTTAGATTGGATTGTGATTAATATAGTATCATAGTAACACGTATCGGTCAAAAGAAGATCACATCTGAATGAGGTGTTACAAAATTTAAATATTAAAGTTACACTCAATTTAAAACACGTATTTGATCAAAAGAATGCAGAGGAGATGTTCTAACCTTGCTTACATTCGTATGTTGATCTGATCCTTGTATATATTTAGCATTAGACATCTTTTAAAACAATTTATTCTCTAAACTTATCTGCTATTTCAATTAAATTCAGAAATTGGATGGTTATACATGACATATATATAAAAAATTATATAATTAAAATGGAATTCTTTGTCTGATGAAAACAATATACCTAACAGCTCTCATTTATTTTTGTGTTTTTTGCAGCCTGTCTTTTCCCAACTAAATTTGAAGGGTGGAGGAGATTAAGCTACAAAAATAGTTGCAGGATTGTTTTCTAGATTTCATGCATGTATGATATGCCCAAGTCAAATTCAGAACCAACCCTTTTCCTAATGTATATTGTTTTGGGTAATACTAGTTTCTGACAGTTGTTTCAAAGAAACTTCTAAGGATCTTCCTTTTTGCAGTTATCACTGATTGGTTCCTGCATATATACATACATACATACATATATATATATATATATATATATATATATATATATATATATATATAAACCTCTAGAATGATAAGCTCTGGTAAGCTGGGTTAGTTATATGGTCCTATTAGTAAAGTGTAATGGGAATATAATGAAGCATTAAACCTTTATATTAACTGATAAATTCATTGCAGCTGACAAAATGTCTTGAAGTCATTTAGGGTAGACTCCCTACGGGAGCCTGGTTAATAGAGCTGCCATAATGTGTGCCCTATTATGGGTACTTGTATTTTTATAGATTATTATTACAAAGTTTTTATTTTTTCCCTAATCAAGTTCAACTTCATCATTTTCCACTGGGGTGTGTGTGTGTGTTTGGTAGCACCAAAACTGGGAGGCAAATACCTTTGTTCCATGATATGGATAGGCAGTCTGTCTCTTCTAGTGATTTTCGGGTATTCTTGACATTGAACACAGCAGCTGAAAATAACTCAAATATAAAGCAAGAGAGAATGAGAGAAAAAGCAAATTTGTTATTAATCAATGCCATTTCATTGATCATACCTTTCAATCATATATATCAAAGTTATATAGTAGATCTGAGTTTACCCTCTTTTTTTTTTTTTTTTTTTTTTTTTGGGGGGGGGTTCTAGGAAAGATTTGTATTTGGCGGCGATGGTAAATCGTTTCATGGAATCAATACAACAAATAATATTGCTCCATACTATTTCAAAGGAATAGTGAAATAATAAGATACTCACCTTACATTTTGGAAGTTGAAAGTTCGTATTTTTTAGAGCCAAGAAATTTTCAGTAATTAGATTGAAGATCACAACAAATCATACAATTTTACCATTGGACACAAAAACTTCCTAGGGTCAATTGTTTCGTCGAATTTTTTGCCTCTAGAATGGCACTTGGGCCCCCAAGTCTCAGCCAAACTTTCACACACTACACACAAAGTAGCAAGGCACAGAAATTACATGATAACTGTCCCAACTTTTGAACTCATTCACACAAAAATTACAAAGGACACAAATCCGACTGAACGGCCAAGCACTCACTATATGCACTTTGCAAACTCTGCCCAAACAAAGCCACCAGCATGCAGTTATATAGGCCTCCGCAAAAAATTGCCTATAACTACCCTGCAAGTGTCTGAACCAACTATCCCATATACATGTTGACATCCCCAACTACTAGGAATGCCAGCCAATTGGACTAAGCCGACATGGACAATTGTTTTCGTGCATGTCTTGGTCCGCCAATGCCATATGTCATCATCAGCCACAGACCCTCTCAACTGCTCATAAACACCCTCTCTGATTGGATAATGTAGTCTCGACATCAAATAAGCATCACAAATTAACCATAGGTACCAATAGCATCTGAGAAATGCCCGCTAATGTGCGCGCTAACTATGCCCAGCTAGTGTTTGTAGGTGCCATGGCCTTATTCATCCACCAAAGGCCATGCACTACCAAGATTTTCCCATTGAAGATGTCACACACCTAAGTCGTGCACCACCAATCTGTTGTCTTACTATGCCTATACGTGGTGCCAAGCACCAAGTCAAACCATGCCCACAAAGTTGTGTCAAATCAAAGCCACAAGGTATGCTAACCGAAAGCCATGAGGTGCCCCCAAGGTACCAAGCATCAACATGGCATGCCCCGTGCCCCATATGTTTTTATTTATTTATTTATTTATTTTTTTATACTTGGTATTCACACACACATACTTCCATAAAAATTTGAACCCTTGACATCCCTTTAGAAAGTAAGAGTCTAATACCGTTAGGCCACTGACCCATTGGTCACATGCCCCATATGTTGTGCGGCCATGTAAAGCCATCATCCATGACCCGCCTAAGGTAACTGGAATCCACCCACAACTAGCTTGCTTGGAGGCAAGTTGGCAATTCCTCCAAGGGGCCATGCGTGCAAGGCATGCCACCATTACCTTTGGGTGAGGGGGACGTCTTCAATTCCTCAAACCTTCCCTGCCAATGGCAAGAGACATTATCTGGCTCAATTCTATTTTCCAATATTTTAAATTATCAAAGTACCCGATGCAGTGCCAACATGGCAGCCACATCAACACCATATGGGTGCTTTTTTTTTTTTTTTTTTTCTTAGTTGGTTACTCACTCACGTATACCTCCACTGAGACTCAAACCTCTGACCTCTCTTTGAAAAGTAGGGGCTTGGTACCGCTAAGCCATTGGCCTGTTGGTACCATGTGGGTGCTTAGGTGGCTAATAGGAAGATCAAAAGTTGTTATGAGAATTGGCTTACAATTGAATACTTGAGTTTCCAACTACTCATACTTATATTTCTTTGTATTTTGTGCCCAATAAATTGTGTTTAATTTAAAGTTTTCAATCTTGAGTCTTGTGTTGAAAGTTGGTTGAAAGGTGGGAGTTGTAACCCTTTTAATATGTGGAGGAGAAGACGAAGACTTGTATATATAGGTGATGAAAGATGAGAATATAGCTTTTAGAACTTTTGATCTTGAATTATTTTTTAAATTGATATTATAAGAGCATAACTCTTATTGATCCAACTCCTTCTCTTGGTTGTACTTCTTGTTCTATAATTCTTTTTCTTCCCTCTCTTTCACCCGCGTCATTTGTGTCATGACGGTTAGGAGAGGTAAAGGAAGAATGGTAACCATTTGATGGGAGATTAGAGAGATGATGAACTTCAAGCACTTAGAAGACAAGTTGAGCAACTTATCAAGCGGCTTGAATACCAAGAAGCACGTAGCAAGCGTGGTAAATCAAGTCGTGGGTCTTCTAGTGGCGAGTCCGATAAGAACATATTTGCCAACCGTGAGGAGCCATGGTTGGAAAAGTTAAATCATGATTCATAAAATGATTCAATAAATGATGAGTCATGTCCACTCACAACATCAACTACTATTGAACCATTTATTGATTGGACTAAACCTTCAATTTTTTTTATAAAGAACCATGCATTGAATCATGAGTCAAAAATCTCAATGGATTGGGATCAATTAGCAATCTTGGATATGGAAGCTATAAAAGAAGAATCTCAAAATGTAGGTAGCTATGAAAATGTGGTGAGAACAATAATAATGGAAAAAAATGAAGGTAAGCACGAAGTCTTACCTTTTATGAACTCCTTTTTATGTAAGTTTATTAAGCCATTTCAATTAAGACTCCACTTAACTTTTCACCAATGAGAGTTCCGCAAGAATACAAATTTGAGCATTGGTTGGCGTTTAAAGATTTGAGCACTAAAATAAGTTTACCTAACTTGAAAATTATGGGTGGTTATGAAGCTTTTGAATCCATGGAGATGACAAGTAATGGATTTCACTTTTATGATACGATTTTGGACGAATTCTTGGAGTACACTACAACTACTAGGCTTTTGTTGGAACTAAAATTGAATTTGATAAAACTTTTAGCTCATGATACTTGTTTCACAAAGTTTTATGGATCTAGTCATCTTCAAAGGAAATCTAGAAAATTTCATCTATGTTGTGAGAAATTGTTATTTGTTGGTACGTATAAAAAGTTAATTTTATTTGATTCGAGTTCAAAAAAGGACAAAAAAGGGATGAAATCCTATGTTTGGATTTTTGAGTGATCGTGGACGAGTCCTTTCTCACCTGGGGAAGATGATGTAGTGCCAACATGGCAGCCATGTCAACATCATGTGGGTGCTTAGGTGGCTAATAAGAAGATTAAAAGTTATCTAGAGAATTGGCTTACAACTGAAGACTTGAGTTTCCAAATACTTATATTTATATTTCTTTGTATTTTGTTCCTAATAAGTTGTGTTTAATTTGAAGTTGTCAACCTTGAGTCTTATGTTGAAAGTTGGGAGTTATAGCCCTTTTAATGTGGAGGAGAAGATGAAGATATATATATATAGGTGATGGAAGATGAGAATGTGGCTTTTAGAATTTTGAATTTGAATTATATTTTGAAATTGATATTATAAGAGCATATTTTGTGTTTATCCAACTCATTTGCTTGGTTGTGTTTTCTTATTCTATAATTCTTATTCTTCCCTCTCTTCACCCGTGTCAATACCTCTTTATGTGACAAAATAGCATAACATTTACCCACACCCAAGAATGAAAAGTAAAAAGCTCAATACCCATGCAAGGGATTTCACCCCCCTTATATATATGTGTGTGCGTGCGCGCGCGCATAATCTAAAATCACAGCTTTGACAGAAGGAAAAATTACCTATGTAAATTGTGTGAAAATAGAGTTACGCGGGGTGCGAAAATTGTTAGTTGATTTCAATTGTAATTAACTCCTTTAATGACCTAGATCTAATTATTAGGTCAACTTGCTCAATTTTTTATTGATTAAATTATATGATCAATTAAATATTCACAATCGTAAATATAAATATTTAAAAGTAAAGCAAGTTAAGTTTGGAGAGATTGCACCAGGATTTTTAGCAAGGAGACTCCAGTTGATAAAATACGTCAACTGTTTGCATGGGAAAAACCTTGTGGACTATTCAGTCCAAAGTAAATCGATCCACTATGTTTGAAACAAAGTATACCGAACTTTGACTCTAGTTCACACCCTATCGTTATACCAAACACCAATTGTTGACAATCCTCTGGCTTTATGACTCCCCGTCCAACATCAACTTGACCACAGGCTTATGCTTGATATTTGTAGAAGAGTAGCAGGTAGATCAGACAACACTTCTCGAATGCTCCAACCCTTTCAAAGTGTGATCGCTTTTACTTTTGTTCTTCAAGATCTGAACTCGATGTAGAAGAATTAAATCCTGTTCTTCATACGGAATCTCTAAATCTTCAATATAGCTCCAATTCCGATGAGATAGAGAACAACACCACTAAATCACTCATGAATATATGTGTGTACTCTCAAAAATAAATTCAGAATAATCAGGTTTGATTTTCTGAATTTTCTCTCTTTAAAAGGCTTTCTTAAAATATAGAATTGATTTTCCTTAAAGCCATTAATAAACCTAGAAGAATAACAAGGTTTATATAGAGTTTAGAATGTCCTAATCCCTTTGAAAATATGAAAAATTTCATTCATAAGACTTGGAAAGAAGTTGGGATCAAAAAGGAAACAATCAAAAGAAGAAACTGAAAGTTCTAATGCAGCCAGGACTCTTAGAACTGGTTCCCAAACTTGGTACCGGTTCAAGAAGGTCAGAAGCCTTTTCGATGCACTTTGGCTACCGATTCCTAACTGTGTGTAATACCCCTAATTTTAAAAGGATAGTCTCGGTAGTTTATTTTATGGTTTTATTGTAATTTTAGCATTTGTATGTGTTTATTTGGCTTTTTGCTTATTTGTTTTAATTATTGTTAATTAATTGAATTAATTGTAGCATTTGTTTTAGTTATTTTCTTTTCTTTAATATATGATTACGTGGAAATATGAATTATATGAATTAATTATTTTTAATGATTTTTGTATTCATTATAATTATAAGGTTTTTATGTTTCACGGTTTAGCTGACTAGGGTTATATTTAGTTGAGGTTTCTATATCATAATATAATAGAATTAGGCTTTTCTTAAGCCTATATAAATATATCATTAGACGTTGGCTTAGGGTTTAGAAATCAAAAAACCCTATTCACGTATATAGTGAGACTGAGAGAAATAGAGGGCAATAGAGGAGTCGGGAACTGTAGGAACCGCCGAAAAATCTAGGAAGACGGCGTAAAGATTTTAATTCAAAATCTTACAGGCAAGTTCTATTCCTAACTCTTTCCCTTTGACTTGTGTTCTTTACATGTCTAACTCAATTCCAGGAACAGATAAAGATCTAAAATCAATCTGGTTCACATGCTATCTGGTTTGCATGTTAGATTTGATTAAATCAATATGTGTTCATGAATCGGTAATTGGTTGTTTTAACTTTTTCTTGCATATTCCTCGTGTTGATTGATGTCGGTTAATGATTAATGATTTTTAAAATCTCTAGAACACACTAGGACTTAGAATTAACCAGTAGAAACCTTAACAATGGAAGATAGAAGGAATGGAGGTCGCCGGAGGTGAAACGGGTAAAAGAAACGAGCAGTATGGTTTCATGTGAGAAGAGGCGGCTCCCCACAAGGGTGGAGCCGGCTCTAGGGTGTGTGGAGGCGGCTCCACAAGGTGTGGAGCCGGCTCCACTCAAGGGGGAGGCAGCTCCCCATGTGGGGGAGGCGGCTCCACCCCCTTTTAATGCAGTTTTGGTGTATTTTCGCTTCTGGGTTTGTTTTTTTGACTTTTTTAGAGTATTCAGAGACTGTGCATGGGAAATTAGATAAGGTCTGAGGTTACATTAAAATCCTAGAGAATGTGGGACTGGATAATAAACCATCTAGGGTTTATAGGTTGAATAGTAAACAGTTCTTAACAAAGTTGCAAACTGTTAAGGGATGCGAGTGGTTTAAATTGCTTATGTTGTTCTTGAAATTTTCTGTGAATGATTATCCAATTCTAATCATGTAATAGTGGAATGAATTAAGCATGTTAAAATATGTATTTTTATTATGCTTGTTAAGGATTAGTTAATGATGCAATTTAAATAATTATTCCATAATTGTTGGGACTGGTATTATAGGCATGACAGTTCGCCTATGTTTATTATGCCGCCATGGAATTAATTGATGTGTACATTTATTTATGTTCCCTCAATTATACGGACAGTGGGGATAAATTGATATTTATATATACTGTTGTATTATCAATTACTGGTTTTTGGTTGTGTAATGTAAAAGCAGTATGTTAAAATACATAACTTTAGTATGTTTATTACGGAACAATGATGCTTATATTTAATATTTGAATTATCAATTGTTGGATGTATAGATTAGTTGATATTTACTTTCATTATCTGTGTTATCAACTACTGGATGGATGGATTGTATGCACCGGTATGGGACGGTAGCATACTAGGGACGGATTAGTTTCAAAATACTAAATCCTACCTATACGGAATAAGGGAATGAATTATAAAATAAATCATACTTATATTTGAGTCAGATCAGCTAAAACTAAGTTGAATGACTAACTAGATTACTTGCTATGGATATGTAAGTCAGTGCAACTGAACAAGCTGAACGGCTTACTGGATTTCTTGTGGATGGATAGGATAGGACTTTAAATATATTGTTATGGTACCGCGATATGAGCTTGAGTCTCAAAGTCGACGGTTAGGGAGCGTATATGCAGTAGGATGCGTAGCAGGCGATGTTGGTTGAGGTATACCCTGTTAGGCTTAGATAGTCATGCCCACTTAGGTGTGTTTTGCATGCTGCCTTCTACTCAGGTTGAAACCCTCATCATAGTCCAGGGAGAGTCCCATAGTGTGGATATATATATATGTATATATGTACGACTACATAGTTACTGTTGAGTTGGTTAGAATGTATATGCGTATCGAGTCTCTACTTGGATTGTAATAGGATAAAACTTGTTCGTGAGCCTGACCCACTTCTATTTTTCAAGTATTCGCTAGTTTCAGTTTTAGACCTGATCGTGCTGAGCAGAGACTATCACTCACTCTTCTGACGACGTAGGACTTTTTTCCATGATTTACTTTGGATGTTTTTTTAGTAGTTTCATTTTAGTTTGGTTTTTTATTAGGAGTCCACTAGAGATGGATTCCCCGAGTTGTTTAAACTATTAGAGGTTTTGGATTTTCTAAGCATTTAATTTGAAAGGATTTTATTTTAGAATTCATTCAGTTTTTATTTATTTCTTAATTCATTTTTGTAATATGTGTTCGTTTAAAATATTTTAATTGTTTGATATTCCCTCGGGTTTGGGCTTGGGCCTGATCAACTCATGTCTTGGATCCGAGGGGTATCATACTTTGGTACCGGTTTAAGGTTGGCAGTGGAGAAACCTGCTGTGGACCAAGGTTTGCTACCAGTAAAAGGTTCTCCTACCGGTTCCCACTAGATAGAAAGGTATTCTCTGTTTCCTTCAACCTTCTAAACTCTCTAAAGTGTTCTCACTCACTCATATACCTTCCTAAATCATTGTTCTCATCATCTCGGAGTGTAGGAACCCATGAATACTTGAACTTCTTTAAATCCGCATCTGATCTTCAATCTTTGAAATTTTGAACCGAAAAATTACAACTTGATCGGACTTGTTTATACAACGAAATTAGCCAAATATAAAATATATATCACAATCTCCCCCTTTGGCAATTTCGTGACAAAACCCTAAAAACAATTCAGCAATCTACCCAAGCAGGAAAGTAAATTACAATTATTGTTAAAGGAATTAAACCGCGGACATTTTCTTGAACCGTATGAAGCTTCAACACACGTAGTAACCTGTAATTTACACATTAGCTCAAACACAACTACCCATGAAGCTTAATCAAGAAAATAAACACAAGTATAAAATAGCCGTGCTAATAATGCTTGAATGTCAATGCAATGTAATGCAATGAACAATGGTTTTCCCCCTCAATGCAAAAAGTTCTCCCCCTTAATGCAAATAGTATCTCTACCCCTGAATGATAAGTATCTCAACTCTCTCACCCTTTTTTGTCACAAATTAACAAGGGTCTTAAGGGTAAAATATCCTAGAAGAAGGAAGCAACCAACCATATAAATCTTGTAAATTGAAGCCAATGAGAATGTAGACTCCATAAGATTATATGTATCAACAGAAATAACCAAGATTAATTATTTTTAGTTCCACAAACTTAGTAAGTGTAGTTACATATCCTTAGAAATTAAACAATCAATATGTGCAAAAGACAATTTTTTTTTTTTTGATCTCTCTTTTCTTTTTGCACCCTTATTCCCATTTATGTTGAGTCAAGGTAGCTTTCGGACAAATCCCAATGGTAACTTTTTTCATCTCACCTTTTTCAAAACAGTAAATATTTTTCATTCTTTTCAAAAACTTTTCATTCAAAGCTGTTTTTCAAATTCTTTTCTTTTCACTCTTTTGGTTTAAAACACATAAAGCAAGTTTATATTCCAAGACAATGATCAATCATGTCAACATTATCTTTGACCAAAACAATGATATCTCAAGTAAATGTACTATCAAGATTTATTTACTATACAAAATTAGAAAGCAAAACCAATTTCATCAATTGTATGTTTTCCACAAATAATCTATGTGTTATTAAACTCTTTGTGTTCAATATACTCAATTAATATGGTTTGCTTAACTTCCCAAAAACATAATCTAGACACTCAAGATATGCATAAAAATCCTTTCTAGATTGTATCTTCGCAATGTAACTAATCAAGACAACATACACCAATAGATTTCCTAAAATGAGAAAACTTAGGAGCATCTAATGGTTTAGTGAGAATATCAGCCAAATTCTGATCAGTATACTTTTTCCAAAGACACGACATTTTGTTCAATAAGTTCTGTAAAAAAGTGATGTCGAATGTCAATATGCTTAGTCCTATAACGCAAAACTAAATTCTTTGAAATATTAATTGTACTAGTATTATCAAAAAAGATAGCAATAGTACCTTAATCAACTTCATAATCCAGAAGCGTCTGTTTCATCCAAAGCAATTGTGTGCAACAATTTCCAGTAGCAATGTATTCAGCCTCACAAGATGATAAAGATATACAATTTTGCTTATTGCTGTACCATGAAACAAGATTAGTACCAACATAGAAACAATCACCTGAAGTACTCTTTCGATCATCCTTGTTACCAGCCCAATTAGCATCAGTATAGCCTTCAATCTCAGAGTTAAACTCAAAAGAATAATGTAATCCATAATTCAAAATACTATTGACATAATGAATAATGTGCTTTACTGCAAGAATGTGTTGTTCTCTAGGATCAGCTTGATACGTAGCACAAATACCTACACTAAAAGAAATATCTGGCCTAGTTGCTGCCAAATACAATAAGCTACCAATCATACTCCTATACAAGAAATGATCAACCTTGTTAGGATCCGAGTCTCTATCCAATTTAGATGAAGTACTCATAGGGGTTTGCACATGCTTTGAATCTTTCATACCAAACTTCTTCACTAGCTCCTTTGCATATTTTGATTGAGATATAAAAATCATATCATCAAGTTATTTCACTTGGAGACCTAGAAAGAAAGTTAGTTCACCAACCATGCTCATTTCAAAAGTATTACTCATATCATTAGAAAAATTATGAATAAGGTTATCACATGTAGCACCAAAAATAATATCTTCCATATATATTTGAGCAATAAAAAAATCTTTTCCTTTCCTGAAAATAAACAATGTTTTATTTGCTCCTCCTCTTCTGAAGCCCTTTTGCATTAGATAAGAAGTTAACTTTTCATACCATGCTCTAGGTGCTTACTTTAAACCATAAAAAGCCTTTTTAAGATGAAAAACAAAATCAGGATTATGTGGATCAATAAAACCTTTTGGTTGTGCTACATAAACTTTTTCCTGCAAAATTCCATTAAGAAAATCACTTTTAACATCCATTTGAAACAATTTGAATTTAAAGTGACATGCAAGAGCAAAAAGAAATCGAATAGACTCACGTTTAGCAACAGGTACAAAAGCTTCATCAAAATCAATTCATTCAACTTAAGTATATCCTTGTGCAACTAATCTAGCTTTATTTCTCATCACAAGACCATGTTCATCAAGTTTATTTTTAAAGATCCATTTGGTCCCTATGATATTAACATCACTAGGTCGAGACACTAATTTTCAAACATCATTCTTTACAAATTGAAGCAATTCTTCTTGCATAGCCATAAGCCAATCAGAATTTTAAAGAACTTCAATAACATTCTTAGGTTCACACTAAGCCATGTGATATGAGTGTCCTATGTCATTTACAATGCATGAGTGTCCTAAATGATCATAGACTGTACTCCTAGTACCATACTGATCCCATGGACCTATCACTTTGTCAACTGGATGATTGATCAAACTCTAGAATTGTTAGATGTGGGAATATTTAAAGATGGTGCAAGAATTCCTATAGGTTTATCAGTGGTGACCTCTAATTCTTCATCCTCAGCTTCTTCAACCTTTTCATATTTTCCACCTAAATTCTCAACTCTTTCTTCCTCATGAATTGTAGGTTCTTTCCTTTCTCCTGCAATTTCAAAATTAGTTTCTTCTTTATCAAGTTGAGAAGTGGTAATCTTAGATTTTGTATCATCAAATACAATATTTATAGACTCCATGACCATTTTGGTTCGAAGATTAAAAACCCTATAAGCCCGACTTGTTTGTGAATAACCCAAAAACACACCTTCATCACTTTTAGAGTCAAATTTTCCTAAGTGTTCCCTATCTTTAAGGATATAATTTTTACTTCCAAAGACTCTAAAATATTTAACAGTTGGCTTTCTATTATACCACAATTCATATGAAGTCTTTTTAGTTCTAGGCCTAAGATAAACTCTATTTAGGATATGACAAGCAGTATGTACTGATTTAGCCCAAAAGTGACTAGCAATCTTATTCTCATGAAGCATAGTATGAGCCATACCTGCAATTGTCCTATTTTTCCTTTCCACTACACCATTCTGTTGTGGTATTTTAGGTGCTGAAAATTCATGCTTAATGTCATTCTTATCACAATATTCAATAAACTCCTTAGGTTCGAATTCACATCCATTATCACTTATAATCCGATTAATTGGATATCCCTTCTCATTTTGAATAAGTTGGCAAATAAACCTGAAATTCACAAAAGTATCAGATTTTTCTTTCAAATATGCAACAAAAGTAAATCTAGAAAAATTATCAACCATAAAAAGCATATATCTTTTTCCTCCAATACTATCAGGTGTTACGCGACCCATCAAATCCATATGAATCAATTCTAAAGGTCGAGAAGTGAGTTTATGAATAAGTCTCTTATGTGACACTCTAGTTTATTTTCCTAATTAACATGGACCACATATTTCATTCTTAGGCATCTTCAATTTAGGCAAATCTCGAACAAGATCATTGTTAGACAAATTCACTAAATCATTGAAATTCATATGTCAAAGTCTTTTATGCCATAAAATTGCCTCACAGTAACTGCAGAATAACATATTAGTGAAGGATTTGAAAACACAACATAGCAATTATCAGAAATTCCAGTTCCTTTCAAAACACATTCACCTTTTTCATTAGTTACAAAACACCCTTGTTGAGTAAAATTGACTTGAAACTCCTCATCACAAAATTGACTAATACTCAATGGATTAGCAGCTAAACCTTTAATATATAGAACATTTTTTAACTCCCCAATTCATGTAAATTTGATCTTACCATTACCACTTACAGCAGAAGCATTACCATCACCAAATGTAGCAGTACCAACTGAACATTCCTAAAAAGTGGTAAATAATGTTCTATCCCCTGTCATATGCCTAGAGCAACCACTATCAAAATACCAACCACATGGACCAAGTGCTTTAAGTGCAGTGTGCATGGCAAGGCATTTAAAATTCTCTTTTTTTACCCAAACAATTTTAGATTCATTACGCAATGATTTTCTTATTGTTCTAGACAAAGTGTCACATGGGTTAACAGTCCTAATCCTCTTCTTCCTTAAATTTAAACTCTCTAGATTTTTCAATTTCTTTCCTAGTTCAATTTTTCTTTGCTGACACTTATATTTGATATGCCCTTTTTCACTATAAAAATGACATGTTAAAATAAGTTTGGTAGAACTAGAAATAACACAAGGTTTGGTTTCAACTTTCACAAAAACATCTTTAGATTTTTGAAAATACAATTCTTTTGAAGTTGATGCCAAATCTTTGTTACTCCTAATATTTTCAACCACTCCTTTCAACTTATCAATTTTGCAAGTGTCAATATTAACTTTTTGAAAAGGCTGTTTTGATTTAACAAATTCACTACTCAAATTATCAATTTTAAGTTCCAGTGATTTATTAAACAAATTTACCTTCTTAAGCTCCTTTTCCAGAAAATCAATTTTATGAAGAAGATTCAAATTCTTATGGCCAATTTCTTCCAAATTCTTATTAGAGACAGAAACTTCTAACTTATAAATATCTCTATCAAGTTTCGCAAGATTCAATTTCTCTAACAAATTTTCAAAATCCTTTTTAAACTTGGACCACTCAATCTACATGCTTGTGACAGAATCAAAAACAGGAGGTAACATATCAACAAAAGATGAATTTTCAGACATGATGCAAAAATCAACAGTAAATCACCAAATATAATCTACTCTATATATCGAGTATCCCGCTCTGACACCAAACTGTGAAAATAGAGTTACTCAGGGTGCGAAAATTGTTAGTTGATTTCAATTGTGATTAACTCCTTTAATGACCTAGATCTGATTATTAAGTCAACTTGCTCAATTTATGATTGATTAAATTGTATGATCAATTAAATAGTCACAATCATAAATATAAATACTTAAAAGTAAAGCAAGTTAAGTTTAGAGAGATTGCACCAGGATTTTTAGCAAGGAAACTCCAGTTGATAAAATACGTCAACTGTCTGCATGGGAAAAACCTCGCGGACTATTCAGTCCAAAGTAAACCGATCCATTATGTTTGAAATAAAGTACACCAAACTTTGACACTGGCTCATACCCTATCGTTCTACCAAACACCAATTACTGACAATCCTCTGGCTTTGTAACTCCTCGTCCAACAACAACTTGACCTCAGGCTTATTCTTGATATTTGTAGAAAAGTAGCAGGTAGATTAGACAACACTCCTCGAATGCTCCAACCCTTTCAAAGTGTGATCGCTTTTATTTCTGTTCTTCAAGATCTGAACTTGATGTAGAAGAATTAAATCCTATTCTTCATACGGAATATCTGAATCTTCAATATAGCTCCAATTCCGATGAGATAAAGAACAACACCACTAAATTATTCATGAATATATGTGTGTGCTCTTAAAAATAAATTCAAAATAATCAGATTTGATTTTCTGAATTTTCTCTCTCTAAAATGCTTTCTCAAAATATAGAATTAATTTTCCCTAAAGCCTTTAATAAACCTATAAGAATAAAAAGGTTTATATAGAGTTTAGAATGTCAAAATTCCTTTGAAAATATGAAAAATTTCGTGCATAGGACTTGGAAAGAAGTTGGGATCAAAAAGGAAACAATCAGAAGAAGAAACTGAAAGTTCTAATGTTGCCAGGACTCTTGGTACCGGTTCAAGAAGGTCAGAAGCCTTTTCGACGTACTTTGGCTACCGGTTCCCAACTGTGGTACCGGTTCAAGGTTGGCAGTGAACAAACTTGTTGTGGACCAAGGTTTGCTACCAGTAAAGAGTTCTTCTACTGGTTCCCATAAGACAGAAAGGTATTCTCTGTTTCCTTCAACCTTCTAAACTCCCTAAAGTATTCTCACTCACTCACATACCTTCCTAAATCATTGTTCTTATCATCTCGGAGTGTAGCAATCCATGAACACTTAACTTCTTCAAAACCACATCCAATATTCAATCTTTGAAATTTTGAACCGAAAAATTACAACTCGATCGGACTTGTTTATACAACAAAATTAGCCAATTATAAAATATATCTCACAAATTGAAATGCCTCTAAAAAATGCCAAAGATATCCAAATTAAATTTCATTAATTTTGTTGGATTTCTTATTACTTCTTCTTATTCCCATTAAAATCCTAGCATGAAAACAATTGAACCTGCATTTATTTATGAAAATGCCAATAAGGCTAAGTGTACTAATCCTTGCCCTTGCAAGGCATGTCATAGCTCTTCATGCGTATACTTTGCTTTGAAATAACTGTTAAAGGGCTAACAAACCCTCACTAAAAGAATCTAACGTCCTTGTGAAGCAAAATTTTCTCAACTTCTTTGTCAAACTATATTCTAGATAACAAAAAGAGTCCTCTTAGCTTGCTACCTTATGGCATTTACAGTGTTTTCATGATATGGCTTGAGAAAATTGACATGGAAACTAGGATGACTCTTCAACCAACTACGCAATTTTAGTCTATATGCAATACTTCTAATCTTCTTTATTATCTCAAAAGGGCCATCAAATTTCTAGATCAACACTTTATGTACAATCTTGTTACTAATTTTCTTTCAAATCTTTGGATTCAATTTCAA